AGCAGCACCGCAATTTTGGCTAACTTTATGAGAAAAGTAGAAGAAAACATACTGGAAGATGATGCTTAACTGCTGTGCTTCAGTTTGACCAGGAAAAAGTGGCTGACGTGTATACAGCTCAGCAATGATACAGCCAGCTGCCCAAACATCAACACCACAATTGTATGAACATTGCAGTAACACCTCTGGACTTCTGTACCATAAAGTTACAACCTTAAAAAATAGCTTCCTGGGAAAGAACTTTTCGAAAACTAGGAAGTCTCCTGAGAAAATATTTCTGCCATATCAATACAGGAAAGAGAACGAAAACGAAAATAACTGTTGTGCAAAATTCAAAGCAAATTACTAGACTCGCATAATCCTATTGGTGCTTTTAAGTTCTTAGCTACGTGGCTGGTATTCCGGCTCCGTTCTTCTTTTCCCCACAGGGCCCTTCCAGGTCTGTACTGCTTTTTTGTAGTGATTCATAACAATTCCATACCAATGTTGTGAAAGAAGACTGCATTGAGTAGTAACGGGCTAAGCCAAAATCCGCAATTTTGATTGTTTGGTCTCGATTAATCAGTATGTTTTGCGGCTTCAGATCCCGATGAATAACGTGATTTGAGTGAAGAAAGTCCAATCCCAGAAGAATCTGCAATTTTAACACAAAGTCAGCGACGATGAACATACATGGTCAACTAACTCTAACATTTTTTGAGTTTTAGTAATCATGAAATAGAAGAATAGAAGGATTTGACTTGAATGTCACGTGTATGAAGATATTTTATGATGCCGTCTGTGTTTCATTCCTTAGCTGTAAACACAGACCGAACTTTGGTTGCGAGTAGGAGCGGGAATCATCAGTACAGCCTTGCACCCGCCATATTCTGAACAGACATGTAACTAATTTGCAAGACGGATAGCGAAAGAAAGAAATATAAATGAAGGGACAAATAAAGTGAGAGAGGAAAGAAAGAAGAGGAGTTAACAAGTGATACGGACAATCATTATATGTAATTATTAGAATTTGGTATCCACTTCTCTTGGAAAATGTATAGAATTAAGTCCCAGACAAGTTCTGCGGATGATAACAGTGGTGGAGATGTACACTGCTGCCATCAACTGTACGAGAAGTCGGGTCAGAAGTTAAGGGAGATGCCCGATGAATCGCAATTCCTTTCAATAGTATCGATGAAATAAGCATGGAATATAGGACCACAAGAAGGCTAATAACCAGGCGCGAGGGAACTCCGATCAAAGCAATCACAGAAAAATTGTTAATTATGCAAAAATCAACTGCAATGAAAAAACAGCTGGTCAAAATGTTAAAATAATTAAACGGTCTGTTGTTAGTTTCTTCGCTAGAAGATTTTCAGTTAAAATTTTCGATTTTTGATACACTTTAATGTTTTT